GTCTTCAACATGTCTTGGGGTCATAGTTTTAGACTACTGGTCGTCTCTCACCTGCTCTTCGCCACTAGTAGCGGATACCATCCCCACCTTCATCCGACCGGACTGGACCATCTATCGCCGACACTGCAACCACAAACATGCGTTGCTTCTCCTCTATTCAATTTTTATTTGGGTAAGTCTTTCTTTTCTTTCTTTTAGGACTTAAGGTTAAATTTCTTGTAGCAGTGGATATGGTCGATATGGACTGTAAAGCAATTAAAGGAAAAAAAGCATAGTCTACCTACAAACTAGAAAAGTCATAGTCTAAAGTCTAAACCTATCATTGCTTTTGTGATCATATGTCAGGCATCACATGTCTCTTATTGCTTTCTATAATGAACAATTGTAATTATCATTTTAATTTACTTCACTAAAATTGTACTAAATAATACTTCCGACATATATAACGTAATAAAGCTTAAATGAAACAAAAAAAAGGCACTCTTCTTGTTTTATTATACTTTTTTTAAGTGATTTTTTATATTATTTTGTTTAGATTAGATGCTTTATTTATATTATAGATATATATTGATAGTGTATATGTATTTGTTTTTGATGATTTATATAGATTTGTAATTATTTATTTTATTATTTTTGGCATGATGCTAAAAATTTACATAAAAAGGTGAAAGAAGCTCTTTATGGTATGATCATGATACCAACAACAACACGATGAATAACAAACACCTTGATCAAAGTATATCGACAAACCGACTCATAACCAAAATTTTCGACTCATTTATTTTATAATGGGACACACGTGAGTTTGAATCCTAGATTCGCCACTGCAGGGCTGGCACGCTAGAGTGGTATAGGCCATGCTAATAGACCATACATCATCAAGCCCCCCCAGTCCGATGTTATTGGTACGCGGCCAATGACATTGGACTGGACTAAGTCATATAAACTAGCAGGAGAGTCCCCAGCGAGGCTGGCGGGAAAGTCCCCAGCAGGAGCGACAAGGGAGTCCCCAGCAAGGCTGGCAAGGGAACGCCAGGCAGGGCTGGCAGGAGCGCGCCAGGCCAGACTGGGGCGCTAGAGCAGTCTAGGCCATGCTAATGGACCATATATATATATATATATATATATATATATATATATATATATATATAGCTTAGGTTATTTTATTTAAAGTAATTATTGTGTTATTGTATGCATAAATGTGGGCCAATCAAATCTACTTATTTTAAGAAAGTGATTAATATATATTATTGAATTAAATATAATTTAAAAAATCATCATAATTAATTACAAGGGTAATTTAGTCCATTAGTACAGATTTAGTAAAGGAAAATTGCACTTTTTAAGGGATCATAGATTCTATTAATTTTAAAAATCTGATTTTACGAATTATAATTCTTTTAATTCGGACATTCTGACAAAATATGTTTATGAGTATATTCAAAAATAAAAATATTTTTGAACCATAAATAATAAAAATATTCTTGAACCTATTTCTTGATGATGACTTTAAAAACTTCTTGAAGAATAACAACTTCTTGTAGAATAACAAAATCTTGAACAATCAATTGTAAAATAAAAACAAAAAATACATTATTCCTTATAGAATACGGGTAACAATTGTTAAGAATTACATTTATTGTTAAAGAATAAAACTAAAAAAACAATCAAAACGGGGAAGAAAACATCAGAATCTAACAACGACTAATACATTCTAAAAGAATAATGTGGTCCGTTCTTCAAGCATCAACTTCTGTGATTCCAACAGAATTGGAATTCGTCATTCCATTCCAATAGAATTAGAATCTCACCAATATCATCCATTGAATCATCTACATAAACCTTCTCCTTTAGTGCAACAATAATACTTGTGCACTGCAATTTTCAACACAACATAAGAAAATAAAGATTATCAAGCATTTAATTTTGTAATCAATCCTCCATCCATTTTACTACATAAGGTAAAATAAAGATTACTCATTCTAACCTTTTGCAATCTTCGGCAAAATGGATGTGGGCAAGAATGGTTGACCACCTGTAGAAAGAAACTGATCAAATTGCACCAATGAAAAGCCAAGGGCAAAAGGGTCTTTAAATTAAATAGCAGGAAACAAAGCAACAATAGCAACGACCAAGGATTAAGGAAGACACCCAAGGTTAAAAATATCTTTAAACCAACTAACCAAGCAATGATCTTGATACTCCAGGTTTCCACCCACAACAAAATATGCTTTCAGAATGCGAATAAGTAACACCAGGCGTACTCAAAATCAACTTCAATCATAAAAAACAGGTTCGTAACCTATAAGTTTCCTTAATCTGTATGGGACGTGAATCACAACAGCCTTTTTGTTTCCAACATCAATTTGACTGGAAAAGAAGCATCAAACAGAGATTAATATGTGATATGATGAAGGAGAAATGGGAGAGGATTTATATGGGATTAATGGGTTTGATATTCATACTTTGCAGAGTTGATGTACAAATCCTTCAAGTCACTCTTGAGCTCTTGGTGGGTGTTTTCAAAGTCGAACAATGCCTGTGTTGAGATGAATTAAAGAAATCAATGAAGAGAATGACATTAATGGGGGATTACCTGAGCAACACTCTGTTCAAACTCAGTGGGTTCAGCATCCTTGTTGTCCTTTTGACAAATCGATGTGCAGATTGTTCTCGTGAATCAAAGATTTCACTCTGCCCTGGTTTCATCCCATTTGACAGATCTGTTGTGAACTCAACAATCGAGTCCAAAGCTGTCACCACCTGCACCACTCATGATATTAGGGTTAGGGTTAAGGTTTCCAAATTTTAATTTTTAGGGCTTGACTAGTTAATCACTATTCATAATATATTCCTGAAATAATACCAGAATTAAGTATGGATGTGATGATTACCTGACTCATTCGTGGCCTTTTTGGTGCTAAATGGCGTATACAGGCTACAACTGCTCCAATCATCCGGAACATTTCAACCTGCACATAGTTTTTTTCCAGGCTAAGACCCGTCCACAGGTTTACGCCCTGTGATTAGTTCTAACAGCACAACCCCTACAATCATGGCGACGACTTTTGGGACCGAATCCAAAAACTCAAGAGCAATTCCAATGAAAATGTTTCAGAGTACCAATTTGGCGTAAAGTTTTCATCTTAAGATCCTCTTTCAATCACGATGGTGGAAGAATTGATCACAAAATCACAAGACACTATGCTGCCATCAATAGACCGATGTGCAGAATTCAAAAGATCACAGATTGCAAGATTACCGGTCCTTTCTGTGGGCTTGAACTGTGTCGTTGGCTTCCATCCAAGTCGCATCATCGGAAGTGGCTCATTGGGTGTTTTATTGGGGAACTAGTGAGTGATCTGCGCAACAGATTACAGAGGCTTGGGGGATTGCGAATCGGTTGTATCTCGTCGGACCGATCGTTGAACAGCCTGAGGTTGGGCGTCATTAGGCTTCTGTCGACCGGAGGGATGAGACGCGAAGAAGAGCCACCGAGCCAAAACACCCCTTTAATTCGTCAGTGGTTTTAAAAAGGGATGAAAAAACCTACGTAGCTAAGTAAATGCTTACCATAATTATAGACTATAATTTGTGGAAACTAATTATCAAATTACCTTTTTATCCTTATTTATTTATTTAATTATTTATTTTTATTGGCCCACATTTATGCATATAATAACACAATACTTACTTTAAACACCTGAACCTATCTCTCTCTCTCTCTCTCTCTCTCTCTCTCTCTCTATATATATATATATATATATAATATATATATATATATATATATATATATATATATATCATCAAATCTAAGTGACCCACCATCATATAATTTTTTTTAAAAAAAACAAAGTGGTTCGCTAATATATATATATATATATATATATATATATATATATATATATATATATATATATATATATATTAACAAACCACTTTTTAAATTTTTTTTATATGATGGTGGGTCACTTAGATTGGATGAAATAACAAATAATATTTAAAATAAGAGGAAATAATAAAATAACGATTAACTTTGTTTTATTATTTCATCTGTTTTTAAATTATATTTTTTATTTTATAAAATCCAAGTAACACACAATTATCGAGAATAAAACGATTTGCTAATGTATTTGAGATAATACAAAAGTTGAAGAAAGTTAAGAAAATATTATAAAATATATTTTTTTTAAATTTTGGAAAAAGAATTACAAATTTTTTATACACAACTATAATTTAGTTGTAGAAAATTAAATTTTGTAAAAAAATAAACTAAATTTGGGGCGAATTCATAATTGTTTTTTATTTATACCATATTAGTAAAAAATTATAAATTCTAAGCCAAAATTATAAAATTTGAAAAAAGAGTGACCAATTTAACCTAACATAAGAGTAGCTATACAGAAACCATAAGTTAGTTATTATTTTAAAACATAAAATCGATTATTTAACGGTTTTAAGACATTTTGAAAAATTAGTTTCAAAAAACAATGATAATTTTAGTAATTAATCTATAAAATAAAAGATAAGACATTAATTTACAAAAAACTAAAAGAGTTAGGGTTAAGCCTTAAGGACTATCTATTAAAAGTTTTAAAATGACAGGACCAACATTGATAACCTAAAAAGTTAATGACCGAGATTTTTTTTGAAAATTAAAGTGACCATTTGATTTTCTTAATTAAAACATTCTTAGGTTCTATTGATTTTTTTTTTTCTCACAGTGCCTTACTTTGTGCACTTCTACATCCAAAGGATGTTGCCTAAGGAATGGGCACAGCCGCACAGGGTTACGGGTCTTATAGCTACAGCCTAGTAGTTTGGCCCGTTTGTAAATTCAAGCCCAAAAACACGGATGCAATTTAATTGGACCGTAAACCGGAAACGATCCATGTAGGCTTCAAGCTGCTTATAAACGTTCAATTCTAAAATATGATTTGAATTGGCATTAACATTATCGATTTTCAACAACTAATAAGCTTAAAATTTGAACTCAAAACCCCGGAATAATAAATAATGATGTAATTAATAACAGAAGGGTCAATAAATCTTATCAACACAAGAATTTCCGTATCAAATTCATCTGAATCAATAATGCGTATACTTAATTACCAACCCACAAATTCTCTCTAGGTTGATCATTTCTTCAACTTTCTAACTAATTCTCATGATCTTGGTAAATTTTTGCCAGCCAAGAACGATTCGAAGAGAAGAAACCCTCTTTGAGGCTGCAACAAAGGGACTTCGTGACCAGCTGCCCTAACTGTCGCAAATGTTAATCCATCATATACTTCTGTCCATCCACCCACCTGTTATAAACACCAATTTCATCTCTTAGATTTGTGTAGTCTTCTATTTATCCCTGTTGGAGAATGGGTACTCCAATAGATGGATGAGACACCTTTCTTTTTTAAACAGTTAATCTAATTAAACAACTATATATGGATGCATGTATATTTCTTTTTTACTTTAAATGTACAAAGTGACTAAATGAATTAATACATCTTATGTGTCATTCGTATTTCTTTTTTCATCCAACTCCTCTAAAGTGTTAGAATTGATAAATATTCTTATTGTGTGGAAACTGAATGTTTCGTAAATGATTATTTAGTTTCGTTTAAAATATTTATTTAGTTTCGGAAAGAAACAAACTGTATATATATGTGTAAAACACTTTGTCCATGCATACATTATTATTCATGCACCCACTTTATCTATCAATGAACGTAATTAATAGATAAAAAAACTAATATATCATACTGTATTCTTTCACACACACACAAAAAAAAATAAATAATGATAATTTATGTACCTGTCCGTTTAAATACCATGGGTACCACTGAGTTTTAACCGTAAGATTGAGATGGCTGAGTGAAAACCTGGTTGCAGTAACTGGCACAACAGAATCGGTGTCACCACTGTGTTTATAACATCCAATAATACACAATCACGTTAATTAGTTTTTATTTTTTTAAGATATCTTAAACTAATTTTATTTTTATATATGGTATATACCTAAACATCCAAATTCGATAACCAGCTGCGATTAACTTCCTGTAAGTTGATAGCATCGAAAACTCAGAATCCTTCCAGTTTAATAGAAGTTCATCACTGCACAATTAAACAATCATAAAATAAAATCTTTAACACCCATGACATTAATTAATCCATCAAGAAATATTGAATTTGTCGCAAATTCCAAGAATTCAAGTAGTGAAATCAACCTGCAAGCAGTCCACTTATATGGAATCCCCGTGTAATTTGCATGCATTGCTTGTTGTACATCAGGCCGATTATAATACTTTTCAGCATTTTTCTCGATGCATGGATCATAGCTTGAAGCTCTTCTACGTACAAGACTGTTCTTGAGCCTTGTAGAAGTTGCATTACGTGATGATATGTTGCAAGAAGGTGTGTAAATGCTGTACTGATCGATCTCTCCAAACTCATGATTCCATGCATAATTGATTGCATCATCGCATTTTTCAGTGTAGTTTTGTGATGAGAATGTGCAAGAACTCTTGATCGATTTGTAAGTTGTGTCTGATATAATCGAATGACTCCACCAATATTCTACTGTCCCGATATTATCATACTTGTTATCTGTCACTGCATTTCCAACCTGCATTAAGATGTTGTACATTCGGTTAACTCGTGCTTGTTTGCTTGTACTCTACAACTCGAATGTGACTTTTGAATTTTGATGGGAATCTTTTCAAGAAAGTAAGTACTTACTATGAATCCTTTTAGGTTGATGAATGGATTGGGATGATTCTTGTTGTAAACATGGATTTTCTTGGCTAATTGAGGAACATAATGACCTATTAAAAGATATATAGAATGGTCAAATCGAAGATTATAGTGGTTGTAAGTTTTGTAAGATTGACTTGTACACTGTGCATTGGGAGTTGTACATTGAGTTTATTAGGATTTTTACTATTATGGTTATTTTTGTGGTGGGATTTTTTGGGAAAAGGTTAAAAAGCTGACCTGCATAACTTTCCCCAGATATGTAGAAATCCCTCTGCTTGTATTGTGGAAATCTTGACATCCATCTTTTGAGGAATATTAGTGCATCCCTTGCTACACAATGAAAGTAAACAGTGATTTGTACAATATTCCTTACACATAACTTGTTTGGATTTTATAAAATTGATCAATACTATTATGATTGCCTTTGTACATTATATTACATTACATGGAATATAATTCCATAATATAATTTCATACTATGCATCATCTGTTTGTATTTTACAAACAGATAATGCTTTGTATTTACAAACAGATGATGCAGATTAATATAACAAGCTTATACTGATCGAAATTTACCAGTTCTTTTGTCGCCAGTGTCTTTGAGATCAGAGCTAGTGTTTGTGTATGAAAAACCGACACCCGCGGGAGATTCAAGAAAGAGAATATTTGCCTCTGTTATATTATCATAGAAATAAAATCTTAATTTGGAATTGTAAATGATACTATTATTTATTTTGAAAAAACTTGAAAAGATAAATAAGAAATGGTTTAACCTTTGTTCCATGAGTATTTATTGAGGTACAGAGAAGAGAGAGTCTTGTTAATTCTGAAAGGTCCAATTTCTTCTGATGCTCCATATGCTATTGATGAGCAACCTGGTCCTGTACTTACATATACAAATTTATATCTTGCTGTTATTTTGTTTATAAACAATAAATTAAAAGAAGATAACCCACTTTTATGTGAATTTAATGTGTATGCATGTACGCCTGTCTACCACATTGACCATTCGAGTGTCGTTATGATATATTATGAGACAAAAGACAATCTTGACCCTCATTCTTTAATGATATGACATAGTTGTCCTTGCATTTTCATATTCTTGGCCAATTGAAAAAGAACAAAGCTAGCCTCATGAGTAATTAAACCGCACAGATCCACTGTGTATTTGTATGCTTTCAACAGTATTATTTTGACAATTGACAAGATAATCCACATGACAAAACACACGTTCATCGTCACAATGATAAGTGTGCCTATATTTTTTTTAAATTATTTTTTCATAACTTTATAATTTTTAAAACAATGCAACAGGTAAAACTCACGTTGTTTGCCTAACAAATTAAGGAATGAGATGTTATTCAAAAGTTTTAGTAGTTAGCCAATAAGTTGAACGTGATTTATCATTTATGGAACTTTTGAGCAAATATACAACTAATTTTGAACATATTTATATAAAGCTTATTCACAACTTTGTAAAAATGATTCACATCTATACATATACCAACTTTGTGAGGCAAATAAAGGAAGTTTGACTAATTAGTTAAAAAGTTGTGAGTCAACTTTAGACTATAGCACGTCATAATCAAATTAATGAGAACAAAATTTGGGATGTTTATTAAATCTGTATAATCATTGTTAATTACAAAATGATTTAATTTGGATTAATAAAATAACACAAAACTAATAATTGTATAATCAACTATAAATAGCTTTATAAGAAGTTAATAATTGTATAATCAACTATAAATAGCTTTATAAGAAGCACCCATGTATGCCTATTTTTGTAGTAAGGTAGATAAATGACATTTTACAAAAGCTTCTAGCCTAATGGTATTTGAAGAAGGGATGAAATTAAGATTAGTTTAAGAATGGATTAAATTTAACGTTAAAAAAAATTGTGGTAAAAAATAAATAAACATTATAGTATTATTTTTTTTTTGGTCGAGAGCGCAATTATGTATGCAGTTTAAAGTTTGAATTTCGCACTTCATTCAATATTGTGGTTTGTGAGTTATGAATTATATGTTAACGGGATGATGCGATAATTAAAGCCTCTCTCAAACGTTTTCCTAGTCTTTATACTTGTTTTTTTAACATTAATTTTAGTTTTTGCTTCATGAAAAACAGAATTATATAACTAAGAATACACATTGCCTTTTAGTATTAAATGTTAAGTTCACGGATATTAGGTGTATATATTCCCTATATAGAGATACAGAGTCGGGTTAATTGTTAGTTGGTAATTGCATGGCATAGAAGCAGTAATTAAGTACCTCCATTGAGCCAAAGAAGAAGAGGCTTCTGGTCTGGATTGTGAGTTGCGGCTTCAGTCAACCAGTAGAAAAGGGCTCGACCATTTTTCTTGTGGACAGTAACGTAGCCGGAAAAACTGAGAGAACGCCACCTCCGGCTGCCCAGGCAACGCTGTGATTCGATCCTTTTCTTGTTGTGTGGTTAGTGAAGCTATGTCGGTGAATCTTGAAGTCAAGAAAAAGCACACAAAAACTAGACACGTCTGATCAGTTATCCTTCTCCCTTGACCCCCCATCTCTCTCTTCAGTCTCTTTCTCTTCTCTTCTCTCTCTCTCTCTCTCTACAGTCTCTCTCTAGGTTATATGCAGAAGAAAAAGAGTAAGTATCACGTCTCTAGATCTCTATACCTATAAATATATACGTATATATGTATATATATACAATTAATGTATATGAGAGAGAGAGAGAGAGAGAGAGAGAGAGAGAGAGAGAGATGAGGTGGCGCAGCAAAGTGAATATGAGGGATGACAGGTATGGTAGATGAAGATTAGGTTACGAACACAATGGATGAACATCACCATAAATGCTCACAAAGCCAAGCTTCATCTCTCTTCAAGATTCATGTTTTGAAACTAGAATGCCACCAATCTACGCGTTTTAATTTATTATCAAAATTTTGATATGCAAATAATATGAAAGCTAGAGTATTTAAAATAGAAATCTAATCTCTTAAAATTATTTTTTAATTCCATAACAGGCTTGAATCTTTAACCTCAAAGAGGGAAAGAAATACCTCATACTATTGGGCTAGTTTGATTGAAAGATTTTTAACATGTAAAAGTGAATTTTAAGCCCCTAAACTATAAAAAAATAATTAAATAACTTTTTAAAACAAATGAGAAAAATTTATAGGGTTAGATTGACATTTATCTTGAAAAAACTTAAAATTAGAAAAGCTCATTTTATCTTCATAATGTAAAAAAAATTTAATTTTTTTTATGAAACATGTATTTAAGTTGTATATTTATAATCGGTTGAAATCAAATATGACACATTAAAATTTGAAAAAATTAATTACAAAAGTTTGTTAATTAACAAGTTTTTTTTAAAAAAAAAATAGATAACCTCATCCAGTTACGTTTTTAAGTTTTATGAAAAATTTCAGCTAAAAGAACTCACAAAAAAATTAGATAACTACGTTGATTCTATATGGCTAAAATATGTTCAATTAAAAAGAATAAATAATTACAAAACCTAAATGTGAATAAAATATGACATTTTCTTTTTTATTTTCTTTTTTCCCTGTTTCTTCTCCATGGATAAAGCTGTGAAGAAGTTCTTTCAGATGCAGATGACCTCAACCTCATCTCACGCTGCATAGATTCTTTAGCTATAAAAGCTTGTTCAGGTCAAAACCCATACAACCCCTTCCCCCTGCCACATCACCGGTCAATAACATCGCACAAACCTCTATAATCTGGAATGGAATTCCCACCTCAAATAAACCACAAACATTCGGTGATGATTGGTGGTATAAAGATGTCTCCTTTCTTAACGAGTGATTCAAACCATGGAGTCTCAAGGCATGAAAGCTGAAACAATAGCGGGATCACATGTGGGATATGCGAAGAAATACATTCCATTAATGAACAGAAAATCAAGTTTTAACGATGCAAGCCATTCAAAACCAGTGTCTGCTCCTTGTAGAAGTAATTCAGAGAATTTTAATTATTTTCTTTATGCACGTTCTATTTGATTAAGTCATAGGAAGAATAAATCAAGGCCATCATGATGAACCTGGTCTTTAGGAAGTAAGTGGTAGGTTCCTGATTTTCAGCAATTTTTCTGTTTAAATACCAAGGCACAATGTACGTTGTAATGTGATCCCCCGCTACTGACTATATACGAATACATTTTGCCCCATTACTCTGTTTTTCTTCTTTAATTGTTCATTGCAAGGTTTGTGAAAAACCAACACTGTGGTATCAGAGCATAACCTGGTGCATGCCCAAGTATCAGTCTCGAGCAGAGATGACAGGCAACAACGACAATGGCGATAAAGAAGGTCAGATCACTCTTCACTATCCGATGCTCTCAAGAACCAACTATGCTGCCTGGGCGATCAAGATGAGAGTGTTTATGCAGGCCCAAGGTGTGTGGGATGCAGTAGAGCCCAGAACTTCCAACACTCTTGTCGAAGTGAAGAAAGACAAGATGGCTTTGGCAGCCATTTACCAAGGTATACCTGAAGACTTGCTATTGTCCTTGGCTGAAAAGAAAACAGCCAAAGATGCATGGGAAGCCTTAAAGACCATGTTTATGGGGGAAGAAAGAGTCAAAACAGCGAAAATTCAAACCTTGAAAGCTGAGTTTGAATCACTAAACATGAAGGAGTCTGAAGGGGTTGATGAGTTCACTGTGAAAGTGAGCAATATTGTGAGCACCATGCGGGCTTTGGGGGATAACGTTGATGAGTCCTACGTAGTGAAGAAACTATTAAGGGCAGTTCCAGATAAGTTTCTTCAAATCGCTTCAGCCCTTGAGCAGTTTGGAGACCTGGACAGCATGACAGTAGAAGAAGTAGTTGGAAGACTAAAAGCACATGAAGAAAGAATGAAGGGAAGAAGTGACACTGATGATCGAAAATTACTCTTAACTCATAAAGAGTGGTCTGAAAGAAATAAGAAAAAGAATGAAGGTGACTCAAAGTCCAAATCCAATCGTGGTGGATTTGGTGGCTCACGTGGAAGGGGCCGAGGTAGAGGCAGAAATGGAGGAGGAAGAGGTGGACGTGGAAGGAGTGGATCTTACCAGAAAAAGGATGGAACCAGTGGTGCAAATAACAGCCGTGACAAAAGCAACGTCCAGTGCTACAACTGCCAAGACTTTGGGCACTATGCTGCAGAATGCAAAAATCCAAGGCGTGAAAGAAACCAAGAGAGCAATCTCGTTCAAGACGATGATGAACCTGCACTTTTCCTGTCAGCATTTGAAAACAAAGAAGAAGAAGGTGAGGTGTTTCTTAATGAAGAAAACGTAAGTCCAAAACTGAAAACAAAAGGTGGAGAAACAAACCAGTCAAAGATGTGGTATTTGGATACCGGGGCCAGCAACCATATGACTGGTGACAGAGAGAAGTTCAGCAACCTAAACAGAGAAATACAAGGGTATGTAAAGTTTGGCAATGAGTCCAGAGTCAGAATTGAAGGAAAGGGGGTCAATAATCTTTAAGTGCAAGAATGGAGAGCAAAGAAAACTTCAAGAAGTTTATTACATACCTGACCTCTGCAGCAACATAATCAGCCTTGGTCAATTATCAGAGTGTGGGGATGAAAATCAAGATCAGAGAACCGTACTTGTGGGTTCATGATAAGAATGGAAGGTTGCTAATGAAGGTAAGGAAGTCACAGAATCGCCTGTACAAAATAGAACTTGAAGAAACCCGATCAATGTGTCTAATTGCTCAAATTGGAGACCCAGTATGGCTTTGGCACACACGACTGGGACACATAAACTTCTCTGCCCTGAAGATTATGTCCGACAAGAAGATAGTTGAAGGACTGCCAAAGATAATTATCCCTACACAGCCGTGTGAGGGATGCTTACTAGGCAAACATACAAGGAACCCCTTTCCAGCTCAAGCAACCTTCAGAGCAAAGAAGAGACTCGAGTTGATACACGATGATCTCTGTGGCCCAATTACACCTCCTACGCCCACCGGTAACAGGTACTTTATGCTTCTTGTTGATGATTTCAGTAGAGTGATGTGGATTTACCTGTTAAAAACCAAAAACGAAGCTCTTGAGATGTTTAAGATCTTCAGAAGAAAAGTAGAAGTAGAAACAGGGGAAAAAGTAAAAGTTTTAAGAACAGATCGTGGTGGGGAGTTTTTGTCAAATCAGTTTACCTCGTACTGCAATGAATCGGGCTTAGAACGTCATTACACATCACCGTACTCACCACAACAGAACGGAGTGGTAGAGAGACAGAATAGAACGGTGGTTGAAATGGTAAGAAGCAGCTTGAAGACGATGAGTGTGCCAGATGTATTGTGGGGAGAGGCGGTGAATCATGCTGTGTATGTTCTTAACAGAATCAGTACAAAGGCTTTGAAAAACTCTACACCATACGAGATGTGGACTGGTTGCAAACCACACCTAGGTCACATTCGCGTGTTTGGTTGTGTATCTCACATGAAAATTGCGAAGGGGCACTTGAAGAAGTTAGAAGACAGAAGCAAGAAGTTGGTTCATCTGGGAATCGAAAAGGGCTCGAAAGCTTACCGATTACTAGATCCCAATACAGGAAAGCTCTATGTAAGTAGAGATGTTGTATTCGAAGAACAAAAGATCTGGAATTGGGATGAAAAAGCACAGATAAAAGCGATTCACGGCATGAGCTTCACGGTAGAAGGATTTGATCTGAATGCTGAACTCGATTTTGATGAAGAGATCGACGAAGGAGAGATTGACCCGGAATTACACACACCCGAACCATATACACCTCAAAACGAATACGGGTCACCTCAAAATGAACCAAGTTGGGCTGAACCAACTGAGCCCACTAACTTGCAACCTAGCCCACATGACAGTTCGACAGACAAAACGAGCTCACCAAGCTCATCGGCTACATCCAATTCACCCAGTACCCCAAATTCCCCCATCCAAGCATCTTCCTCAAGCATCGCATCGAGTTCCACCGGAGGAGGCGCCCCAAAACGGTATCGATTGCTATCAGATCTGTACGAAAATATAGAGGAAATTCATTTGCCTCTTGAAGAACTGCTGCTGATCCAGGATGAACCAAGCACGTACAGGGAAGCAAAAGGAAAGAGCGAATGGGAAAAGGCAATGAAAGAAGAACTGGCTGCAATCGAAAAGAACAAGACGTGGGAACTAGTTACACTTCCAAAGGGGCGAAAACCGATCGGATTAAAGTGGGTATACAAGGTGAAAAGAGACCCGAAAGGAAGAATTGTGAAGTTCAAGGCACGTATTGTGGCGAAAGGCTATGTACAAAGACAAGGCATCGATTATGAAGATGTCTTTGCTCTGGTTGCAAGAATTGAAACAGTCCGAGTAATTCTAAGCCTTTCAGGTACAAATGGGTGGTGGGTTCACCATCTTGATGTAAAATCGGCCTTTCTAAACGGGAAATTGGAAGAGGAAGTGTACGTAGCTCAACCAGAAGGTTTCGAGAAGAAAGGAAAAGAAGACAAAGTATACAAGCTCTCAAAGGCGTTGTACGGGTTGAAGCAGGCGCCTAGAGCATGGAATGCGTGTCTGGATACATACCTGAAAAGTCTTGCATTCAGAAGATGCTATCAAGAATACTCGGTGTACACAAGAAAAGAAGAAGGAAGAGTCCTGATAGTAGGTGTGTATGTTGATGATCTGCTGGTCACAGGTAGCTGCCAAGATGATGTAAACAGGTTCAAATTGGAGATGAAAGCCAAGTTTGAAATGAGTGACCTCGGGTTACTAACTTACTATCTGGGAATTGAAGTCGATCAAAGTGAAAAAGGCATAACTTTAAAACAAGAAGCCTATGCCAAGAACTTGCTGAACAAATCACGGATGAAATATTGCAATGCTTCAAGATGCCCACTTGAACCAAAAACGAGACTCTTAAAAGACGAAGAAGGAGAACCAGTTAACCCAACATAATATAGAAGCATCGTGGGAGCACTCAGGTATTTAACACATACCCGACCTGATCTTGCCTTCTTAGTTGGGGTTGTTAGTCGCTTCATGGACAAATCCACTGAGAAACACTTACAAGCTGTGAAAGGTATTTTGAGGTACATCAAAGGTACACTCGATTATGGGTTGACATACACCAGGGGAGAAAACAGAGTAATTCTCACAGGATACTCTGATAGTGATTTTGGAAATGATATGAGTGATGGCAAAAGCACAGGAGGGACAACCTTCTACTTGAATGGAAACTTAGTGACTTGGGCCTCACAGAAGCAGCGAAGTGTGGCATTATCAACATGTGAAGCTGAGTTTATGGCTGCAACTCAAGCAGCTTGCCAAGCCATATGGCTCAGAAGAATGCTCACTGAAGTAACTGGACAAAAGGTTCCACCTGTGTCATTGGATGTGGATAACAGCTCAGCTCTGGATTTGATGAAAAATCCAGTATTTCATGGTCGCAGTAAACACATCAATATAAGATACCATTTCATTCGTGAATGTGTTGAGGTTGGAGAAATAGTGGTAAGCCATGTTTGTAGTACGGAACAGAAAGCAGACATCCTGACTAAGTCAATGGAGAGGGTGAAATTTGAAGAAATGCGGGATTTGATTGGTGTGAAATCAGTCACAAAACTCTGAATTAGGAAGAGAATGTAGAAGTAATTCAGAGAATTTTAATTATTTTCTTTATGCACGTTCTATTTGATTAAGTCATAGGAAGAATAAATCAAGGCCATCGTGATGAACCTGGTCTTTAGGAAGTAAGTGGTAGGTTCCTGATTTTCAGCAATTTTTCTGTTTAAATACCAAGGCACAATGTACGTTGTAATGTGATCCCCCACTACTGACTATATACGAATACATTTTGCCCCATTACTCTGTTTTTCTTCTTTAATTGTTCATTGCAAGGTTTGTGAAAAACCAACACTCCTTCCGCAGCAGAT